GCCTCCCCGGGGAGGCCCCCCCCGGCCCGCGGGCCCCCCCGCGCCTGCCCCGGCCTGTGCCTGAGAGCTGGGGCCCTGGCGGCAGGCAGTTGCAGGACGGAGGCAGCTCCCAAGCCCCGCCGTGCCCCGGATCCTGCCTCCGCCCCTCTCCAACGGGGGTTCTCTGTAGCATCCCCCATGGGCCCCTGCTAGTCCAGCACAGCTCTTGCACAAGACTCCCACTCTCTTCTCAGGGCCAGGGAGAGAATCCAGGCCTCTGGGTTCTCAGTCCCTCCTGCTCTCATCCCAACAGACTGGGAGAAAACCAGGCAAGGGGCTCCCAGCCTCAAGAGCACTCACGGCCAGCCTAGCCTCCCCTCGCAGAGCAGGGAGAGAACCCAGGTATCCTCCCCCCAGCCCCACCTCCCGGTGTATCCCCCAGTCCACACTCCCCTCCCAGAACTGACAAGCAGCTGGGCTCACAGGCCCCCCACAGGCCCCAATTCCTTTCTCAGAGCTGGGGGAGAACCTAGGCATCCAGACACCCTGCTCTCAGCCCCCCAACTTCCCTCCCAGAGCTGGAGAGAACCCAGGTGCCCTGAGCCCCCCCAACCCCCTTTCTCCCCTCTCAGAGCAGGGAGAGAACCTAGGAGTGCTACCACAGAGGCTGCTAGCTCTCAGGGGTGAGAGGCACAGGGAAAGCAAGTCATCTCCCTGAAGCAGCCCTGTAGGTAGGAGCAGATCCAACCACATCTGAGAATCACAATATGCCATGGCTTTGGGGGTGCAACTGTGTAAAGGAAGCACCTGCCTGCCTCTACCTTGAGCTACCAAGATGCAGCTGCTTCTGGGGTGGAGCCAGCAACACAGTGGAACTTAATCAAGGGGAATCCTTACAGCTGTCCCAACTACAGCTCCTGCAGGGGGCCACTGTGGGGTGCTGCCACCCCTCCCAGCTTCACCTGCTGCCTCAGTTTCCCCTCTAGCCCTGCCCCCTCAGGAGTGCTCTGAGGCCAGCAAGCTTCTTGGCCCTGCACTCAGATTTAAGTCCATTAGTTAAAGCTTATTTATTTGGACGGGTCTCCCCTCACCTTAAAAACCAGCAATAATATTAATTCAGATTCTAATGCAGTCCAATGTCTTCGTGCCCCATCCTGTACCAGGTTGCCAAGCTGGTCCGTGCCCACAGGGAGAGACCGAAGCGTGTGCTGCTATCTCAGGTCACCAAGTCTGTGGCATCCACATCTGCCTGCCCTGCAGCTCTGTGGTGGCAGCAGGGGCTTGGCCCTTCTGCATGGACTCCCCAGCTCTGGCACTAGTTAATGGTAGGTCCTGGCCCCTCTGTGGTCCAGGATCTCGGCCTCCCGGAGGCTCCATGGCCACAATCTTGGGGACAGCAGCAGCATCCATGGTGCCTTCTTTTGCCTGGGTATGGATTGGCCCTGTGGCAGCCACCCCTGCTGCTGTGCACTTTGGGGATGCTCCGAGAAACGCCCCCTCCTCCAAGCCGATGCTTGGATGAAGAGGGCTGCAGCATGTGAAGGCTTAACAAGCAGCTCCCACTTTCTGACCCTCCTCCCCCAACACTGGAATCGGGGAGGTGCTGATCAGTCCGATGCGTGGCATGGGGGACTCACACAGAGTTGTTCTGTACCACTCCGTTCGTAGGGTTGTTGGGCATGTGGCCCTGAGGGGACTGGATCTCAGTCAGGGGCACTTGCTCTCCAGCTGTTGGTGCCTTTTGCTTCTGCTTCTGCTTCTGCTTCAGATTGTACTTGCCGATCTTTTGCTTGCGGTAGTACACAATGTAGATGGCGCTGCCCACAGCCAGAACTACAGCTACAGCCATAATGGGCAGGATGATGAGGAGGAGATTAAGGTCATGAACTATGGGGACAAGAAGGCAGGATCAGGCTGTGCCGACTGTGGGGGACCTGCCCCAGTGGCTGAGCTTCCCTCCCACCAGCCATGGGTCTCCCCTGGCCACCAGACTTTCTTCTCCATTACAGATCAAGAATTCCATGAGCTGAGATGGTTTCAGGGCCAGGCTCCATGCAGTGACCTGATCTCATCTTGGGGGGGGAAGGGGGCGGGGTGTACAGCACCCAGCCTGGCCCTAATCTTGGCTTGGGGCTTCTGGGTAGTGCCCAGCATGACAGGGCCCTGCTCTCAATCTGGAGGGGTTGTACAGCACCCAACATGACCCCAGTTTTGGTCTGGGGGGTTGTACAGTGCCTGTCAGAGCCCCAGTGTCAGATTATGGTGGTCTGGCCAGTGTCCAGTATGACAGGGTCCTATCCTTGGTCTAGATGGGTTGCACAGCTCCTGGTGCAGCCTTAATCTAGGTCAGGGGGGCTGGGCAATGGTCAGGGGTTATATCCCACTCCCAGCTTTGTTAACCCCCAAGCAAGTGGAACTGACACTTCAGGGACAGCCCAGACCCCAAGCCCAACACCCACGTGCTCATTTCCACATGCCCCCTGGGGCCATGTGCAGGCCCCTTGCACCCCTCCAGCTCACTGGGGAAAGCACCAGGGGCTCTCCAATCCCATGGCTTCCCATGCCCCATCCCCTTGTAGCCCCCACTCGCCTCAGGTGCCACTCACATTCCACGTGGACAGTCACAAGCTGAGTGACGGTGCCATGCTTGTTGGTGGCACTGCACATGTAGGTCCCGCTTTGGTCCCGTGTGACCTGCTGCAGCACCCCGGGTTTGTGGGGCTCCCCCTCCTTGATGCACTTGATGGTGGGTGGGGGGTTGCCCTGGGCCTTGCAGATCAGGGCTTCCTTCTTCCCCTCCAGCCAGGTCTGGTTCTGTGGGCAGCTGGTGTCATTCATCCGGGGCCCATCTGGAAGGCAGAGGGGGTGCGTGAGGTCATATCTGGCTCCAGCCCCCAGCCAGGGGCTGTTTTCAGTGTCTCTCCCTGGCCCCTGAACTGTTCATTGGTGCTATGGCACAGGTCTCTGCTTCTGGCTCTCCCCACTTCTTGGCCCATGACCTCAGCCAAGTTCACCTAGCCCGTTAGCTGGTATGCCTCCATTTCCCAGGTTGTAAATGATGCTGCAACTCCCCCTGACCAGGACTCTCATGTGCACTTTAAAATCACTCATTTGACCACAGTTCGCAGTAGTGGCAGCAGTCAGAAACCCAGCATCAAGCCCTGGCTCTGCCATGCCCTGCCCCCCAGGAGGCCTTGGTCATGTCACCTAACCTTCTACCCCATCCCCACAACTGGAAGGGCACCTGCCACCCAGAAGGCGTGCAAGGACATGTGCCAGAGATTTTTTTTTTAATTTGTATCTGCTAAATTAGCCCAAACTAATTCTAAACCCAAAAGTCCAGAACCATAAGTGGCCCTACTACCAGCAAACAACCTCCACCCACACCTGGGGCTTCAGATGTTTCCAAAACCTTTGGCAGGCATCCTACTTGCAGGCTAAGACCGGAGGCCTGGGGTTCAGATGCCCCCCAAGTTTTGCTTGCCCTTCGCCATAAGGCCCTCAGAACAAGCAAGAGAGAAGACTCCCATTTCCATAAACTAGGCTTAAAGCCTCTGCACCTTGGTGGGTACTGAACCACACCAGAAGGACATGGGACAGAGATGATGCAGTGCCCAGAAGCCACAGGGACAGGAGCACACCCCCACCACCCCTCTACTCCAGGTGCACAGAGGGCATCGCCAGCCCTGACTCACAGTAAACAGTGAGCACCACTGAGTTGGCCTTTAGTAGGATGGGCTGGGCATCAAACCGGAGGGTAGCCTCGCACATTAAGCTGCGCCTGTTGTCCTCGTCACGTGCCATCAGCAGGTGGTACAGGACCGGTGGCTTCCCTGTGGTCAACACGCTTCCACCACTGTCTTTCAGCTGCAGCTGAATGTGGGTGTCTGCACTGGCCGACACATTGCACGTTACGGTCACATTTTTGTCAGCCACAGTCTCCTGCGGGTCCACGATCAGGATGGGCTCAGGAAAGTCTGCAGGGAGCAAGGCAACTGTTGTTCAGGCAGGGGACAAGGCAGATGGTGGCTCTAGACACTGCCTGGGCAGGGGGTCTCCTACTGGCTCAAGGGGCTCAGACGCCTGGCACTTGCACCCCAGAGGCAGCCTGCATGTTTCCCAGGTTGGCCACTGGGAAGCTGGTGTCACCTAGATCTGGCCAAGGGGCAGAGAGAACTTTGGGGGCTGGAGCTCTCAGGTGCAGCAGGGCTGGGCATGTACAGGGAGCCAGGCCAGCACGGTGTGGGAGTGGGGCATATGCTTCTCTCGGGCCCCCAGGGTGAGTTTTGAGTGGAGAATTTGGAGGGAAAGTCCAGCCGCAGGAAGCCAATGTGAAATGAAACCTCCCCCATGGCCTGCCTCTCCCTCCTCCCCCCCAGGGAACTGAAACCCTGTGGGGCCTATGACACAGATGCTTCTGCCTCCAGCAGGGTTTCCCCCGCCCACAGGATGCAGGATATGGACATCCCCAAGACACAACCCAGCCACTCACTGTAAACCTCGATGGGAACCACAGTGGAGCGAGACAGTGGCCCCACGGACACAGTGCAGTTCAGCTCGTATTTTCCAGGTGCCTGGGAAGCAATCTTGGCCATGACAATGGTGCCCGAGGTGGTGACATTGGAGAACAGCAGGTGCCCAGCAAAGCTCAGATTGAGCTGGACCTCATTTTCTGGGAAAGCATCATCCATGTGACAGCTGGCATTCTCGGTGGTGCTTGCTTCCAAGTAGTGATGGACCTGGATCTGGGGATCCCTGGGGAGGGCTGCAGTGGGCAAGAAGGGCTCAGTGGCATGAGGGGTGGATGCCGCTGGCTGGGTAAGATGTCCTCTCCCACCCAAGTCCAGCTGCACATGCTGACCCCCTCTCTGCAACTCCAGGCATGGGTGTGTCCATCCCTTCTCTGCCCAGTGTAGTGTGTCCAGCCCTCCTGTCCTGCAGCGCCCGCGCCCAGGCCCCATCACCAGAACCTACAGCTTGGTTTTCTCAGCCTGTTGTCAGAGAAGTCCCTCTGATGTACACACACACACACACTGATGTACACAGAGCTCAGGCATCTGGGACACACGCACAGAACCCAGGTGTCTAACACACACATACTTGCACAAGGAACCCAGGCAACTGGGAGAGACACACAACCCAGGCCACACAGACAACCTGCCCTCCACCCTGCCCCAGGAATCCAGGGACAGGACACCTCCACCCCCAGGCTACACAACCCCCCTACCCCAAGGATCTAGGATGCATACATCCCCCACTCCAGAGGCATACAGAACCTAAGCATCCAGGACAGGGACATGCAGACCGCCCCCCCCCCCTCCCCCCACCAGGACACACACGCACTACCTGTACTACCCTGGGCGGTTCTGGACTGGGTCAAGGGTGGGGAAGAGGAACAAGGAGGGGAAGTGTGAAAGGGGAAGGCAGAGCTTGGAGCAGGGGCTGTTCAGAACCTCAGGCACAAGCCTGAGAACCTTCTCAGGGAGCCTGGGGATGTCCAAGTCTGTGCCTGGGCAGGCAGCTGCTGGAGGTGGAAAGTACCTTCAGGCCCAGCCTCCTCTGCCGCACCCCACGCCAGAGCACGTCAAAGCATCCCACTCAGGCACAGCCAAATTCAGCCCTTGGTCCCGTGGGCACTGGATAGAGGGCATCTAGTGTGTTTTCCCTTGGAGTGTCGTATAAAAACAGGACGCTGCCCCTTTACGTGGCCAGGCAGGCCCCAGCAGTACCCGCTGTGTCCTGTGTTTCAAGTCTGCTCATGGGGGGCACCTGGCTGTGGTTGAGGCAGCACTGCACAGAGGGTGCCTGGGACAGGGGCTCAGGCCCAGGGACCAGCTCAGAGCCTGGAGAAGGCAGAGCAATGTGTCAGGACCCAGGCTAGAGAGCTCCGGGGTCCCCAAGGTGTCTGGTAAAGCCCCCAGCTCAATCCCAAACTCACCATACACGCTGAGGCTGGCTGGGGTGGAGACATTCTCGAGGAGAGGCCCATGGGGCCGCAGGTCCAGTGCCGTGTGGCAGGTGACATCCTGCCCATGGTACTCGCGCTCCGCAATCACGTTGAATGTAGCCATGATGTTGGTAGCATTCATCGGGGTATAATTCTGGAAGTTCTTTGTGTGTAGCACCTGACCCCCGAGATGCAGGGTCACACTGAGGTTCCTCACAGGTGCCACATTGACCACCCTGCAGGTCACGGGGTAGGTCTTGCCCTTCTCTAGCATGGGTGGCAGTTCCAGTGTCACTTGCTTTGGGACCCCTGAGAGTGAAGGAAGAAGCAGGCTGATACCCAACAGCTAATGGCACCTAAGCAGCTCAGTGAGTCACAGCCAGAGCCCCTCACTCAGCCAGGCCCTCAGCCCAGGTCTGGGCCAGACCCTCCCCACACCCCAATCTCTGCTTTCCTACATAAGACCTGCTATGACCTGTGTCAGACCTGAAGTCCAAGTTTCCCAGTCTCCTGTGTTACATGCTGGCACATAGTGAATACAGAGAGGGAGGGTGAACTGGGTCTGACCAGGGATTTTCCCTGTTCCTCTCTCACTTGCAGCCTCCAGCATTTAAGGTCCAAGACATTCTGATTCAAAGGCCATGCCCTTCACTCCCATGCTCAATATCTACTCATGCCCCTTTGCTCCAAGAATGTGTCCAATCCCTTGTGAATCGGCTGAACTCTCAGCTTCCACTGTTACTGGTCGCTGTTGTCACCACTGATGATGACTTGACTGATAGGCAGTGTGAAAAAGAACTTCCTGTTGTTGGTTTTAGACTGACTGGTTGACTGCTGGTTTCATTTTGTGACCCCTCGCTCTTTCATTGACTCTCTCTCAATACTGAATCCCTACCCACTTTCTCTTTGTCATATAGTATTTGGTAAACCCTTCTTGCCCCCCAAGCCACCTCCAGCACATCTTTTCTAAACTGGATAGGCCTTGTCTTTAGCCCCTCCTCATATGAAGGCCCCCCTATACTGCTAACCATCCTTGCTGCCCTTCTCTGGACCTCCTCTAGTTCTTCTACTTCCTCCTCTGAGCTGCCCACTTCTTGGCACTGGTAGGAACCCAGAGCTAGTGGCTGGGCTGCACAGGGGCACTTACGGTATGTTGTGATATCGGCAGACGCTATTGTTTTGTCAGTGCCATTGCAGGCAATCCAGCACTGGACCACGGATTGCGACTCGCTGATGTTGACCAACACCCAGCTATGCTCCTGGTCCACCTGGTGCTTTGTGAGTGAGGTCTCCAGGCCCAGCTGGACATCAGAGACTGGGCATGTTGATGAGCAAGTCAGCGTCAGGTTCCCGCCGTACCTCACCAACA